GGCAGGGCAGGGGGGCGCAGGGGGCCCCCACGGGGCCAGCCCTCACCTCCTCCTCCTCTCCATCTTCCTGCCAAGGTGACAATTTCCTCCTGCACAACCTGATCCTGGACACGGGCATCACACAGCAGCTGGTGGAGCGGGTCTGGAAGGACCAGGACCTCAACACGTAGGTGGAGGCAAGGTGGCCCAGGACAGGCAGCGCTGGCTGGGGACAGAGGGGGATTGGGACGGCCTGTGGGGACAGGGACAGGGGCCGAGCAAAACCCCACTGATGCCCAGCATGCCCAGCCTCTCTCCTTGCAGGTACAGCCTCTTGGCCGTCTTTGCAGCCACCGATGGGGGCATCACCCGCGTCTTCCCTAACAAGTGAGTGTCTGGCGGGTGCATGTGTGCCTGGCCCCACGCGGTGACACATCTGCTCCTGTGGGGCCATCTTGAGTGGGACTGGAGCCGAGTGACAGTCATGGCCGTGGCTGCTCCCCGCCAGGGCTGCAGACGACTGGGAGGAGGAACCGGAGCCCTTCAACGCCAGCTTCTACCGGAGGAGCCTGGACAACAAGGGCTACATCTTCAAGCCACCCTACCGAGACGGTGGGTGCCGGCTTACGGTGACGGGGGGTGGCACGGGCTGCCGCTGACCCCACATGTCCCCTGATGCCACCCCTGCCCTCTGCAGCCGGCTACCGGGGGCTGGACCTGGAGAACAACACCATCGGGATCCTGGTGAGCACCGCCGTGGAGCTCAGCATCGGGGGCAAGACACTGAAGCCAGCAGGTAGGCAGGGGGCTGGGTGCCCCACCGTTAGGCTGGGGGGGTCCCCATCATCCCCCCCGTGCCGGGGCTCACCCTATCTCCCCGCTGCCCCAGTGGTGGGGGTGAAGCTGGACCTGGAAGCCTGGGCTGAGAAGTTCAAAGTGCTGGCGAGCAACCGGACGGACCGCGACCAGCTGGGTGCCCGCCGGGTACGTCCCCCAAGGCTCCTGCGGCTCTGGCACGGCGTGGGGACGGGGACAGGGACAGGGAGGGAGCTCTGCTTGCCGGGGACATGACTGGGGCACTGCCAGGACATGGTGCCTGTGGCCCCATTGGGCTTGTGCCTCCCACGCAGCCCTGCCCGTCACCCTGTTCGGGGAGCCTGTCCCCCGAACCCCTGACCCCCTGGCATGTCGCCTCCTGGCCAGGAGGACAGCTCTGGCAGGGAGGATGGTCCTGCTAACCTGTCCCTCTGCCCCGGTTTTGGTTGACAGTGCGACCCCTCGACCAGCTGCGAGATGGACTGTGAGGCCAACAACAAGGTGGGTGGTGGGCAGGGGTTGTGGGCAGCAGGGGACAGCAGGCAGGGGCAGCGGGGGACGGCTGGGAGGGCTCCTCGTCCCCTGCCTGCCCTGCCTGTGCTGTCCGGGTGAGTGCGCCCACCCTGTCCCCCAGCCGCTCCCGTTGCTCAGCCAGCCCCTGACCCCGCTCACAGGGACGAAGCCCTGGGGTTGCCCCCTGGACTCTGGACCCCCCCCCAGGGGGCTGTTAAACCTCCCAGGGTGGGTGGTTGTTCCTGCTCCCTGTACCCAGAACGTGTGCTCCCGGCACTGAGATGTTCCTGAGTGGCCTCCAGACTTGGGGACGCTGGGCTGGCCCCCCCGGCCTGACTGCCCGTCAACCCCCCCGCCCTGCCTGTCCTGCCTTGCCCTGGGCATGGCCAGGGGGTGGGTGACGCTGCTGTCCTTCCCCAGGACCTCATCTGCGTCCTCATCGACGACGGGGGCTTCCTGGTGCTTTCCAACCAGGAGGACCACTGGTACCAGGTGAGCGTTGCCCGTGTTGCAGCTCTCCTGGGCGTGGGATGCCAGTGGAGAGCTGAGAGCTGTGAGCTCGTGTCATGGGTGGCATGACACAGCCCCGCTTGAGTCCCCGCCGGGGCAGACACAGGGTGAGGTGGTGTTTGGGTGCAGACTCGGTGTCCCCATCCCAGGTGGGCAAGTTCTTCAGCGAGGTGGACGCCAACCTGATGTCCGCCCTCTACAACAACTCCTTCTACACCCGCAAGGAGTCCTACGACTTCCAGTCTGTCTGCGCCCCTGAAGCCCAGAGCAACACAGGCGCTGCGCCCCGCGGCGTCTTCGTGGTGAGTGCCTGTGGGAACGGTGGCCGCCAGGCGGTCCGGGAGCTCAAGGACCCGCGGGGTGTCCCCAGCACAGGGGCCCGCTGGCTCACTGCCCCCTCTTTGCCCACAGCCCACCGTGGCCGATCTCCTGAACCTTGCCTGGTGGACCTCAGCTGCAGCCTGGTGAGTCCTGCCGCATCCCCTCCCCAGGGCCATTTCCATCGGGGGGTGATGCCGGCGTGTCCCCGGGGCTGGGACAGCTGACGTGGCCGTGGTCTCCTTCCCCAGGTCCCTCTTCCAGCAGTTCCTGTACGGCCTCACCTACAGCAGCTGGTTCCAGACGGGTGAGTCCCCGGGGAGCCCCGAGCTGGGGGCGGGCAGGGGACGTGGCGGGGGCACGGGGCGGGGGGGTCCGTGGCCCCTGGCCCACGGCGCTGTGCCGGCGCAGAGGAGGTGGCGGGGGACAGCATGGAAGCCAGGGAGACGAGCTGCATCATGAAACAGACGCAGTACTACTTCAGCACCGTCAATGCCACCTACAACGCCATCATCGACTGCGGCAACTGCTCCAGGTGGGTCCGTCCCCACCGTCCCACCAGCTGGGCAGGGTTGGGGGCACCCTCCTAGGCTGTCTTTGCCAGGACCCCCGTGCAGCTGCCTGCACGGGGACGATGGGAGATGCCATGCAGCGCTCAGGGGGGCTGTGGTACCCGGACAGGGGGGACAGGGAGCAGCGGTAGTGTCCCCGTGGGCCATGGGGTGATGGTGACATCCCCAGGGTTCCTCCAGGTGGGACCGAGCCCTGCAAGCCCATCGGTGCCAGTTCCCTGGGCAGCCCCTCAGCGTGGGGACAGGGTTGGAGATGGGGATGGGGATGGGGATGAGGATGGGGATAGATGGAGATGGAGATGGAGATGGAGATGGAGATGGGGATGGAGATGGGGATCAGGATGGGGATGAGGATGGAGATGGAGATGGAGATAGAGATGGAGATGGGGATCGGGATGGGAATGAGGATGGTGGTAGATGGAGATGGAGATGGGGATGGGGATGGGGATGGAGATGGAGATGGGGATTGGGATGGGGATAGATGGAGATGAGATGGGGATGGAGATGGAGATGGGGATGGGGATGGGGATGGGGACACGCCACCTGCTCAGCCTCCTCGGAGCCACCCAGCAGTGGGGCTGGAACCAGGGACCGGGGGGAATTGGGGCACAGGGTAACTGGGGTCCCCACTGCTGTCATGCCCCCAGGCTCTTCCACGCGCAGAGGCTGGCCAACACCAACCTGCTCTTCGTGGTGGCCGACAAGCCCCTCTGCAGCCAGTGCGAGTCCGTCAAGCTGCTGCAGGCAGAGGTAAGAGGTATCCTTTGGTGGTCCGGCTGCGTCCCCCCCGGGATGGGAGGGGGGTGAGGGGACAGGTGGGGGTTGCGGGGCTGAGTGGGGAGACTGGGAGCTGCAGGGTCAGGCAGGGGTAGAGGGAGCCAGCCCATGGCCCGAGGGGCTGGGGGTGGCCGTGGGGCACCCCACGTGCCCCCATCGCCCTGTCCCCGGTGGTTTCCTTGACCTGCGAAGCCCCCCCGAGGGACCCCAACCAGTGTGAGCTGGTGGACAGGCCCCGCTACCGGAAAGGCCCCCACATCTGCTTCGACTACAATGCAACAGTACGTGGGGTGCAGGGGGACGCGGGGGGGAGCGGAGCCCCAGG